TATCTTGGTGACTGACGGGTGTTGAAATATGCCCTAAACACTATTTGAACGTCATTCTTCTGATGTTTTTAGGTTGTCCTTTTAAGATTTAGACATTAACTACAAAGACTGATATTCTATCTCGTTCGTTCGCTTTTCTATATCTTCATTCATGTGATGCTTCTTATACACGCTTTAGTAATGGGGTTTCCGGCACCCCTGTTGATAATGGGATATATATATATATATATATATATATATATATATATATATATAATTATTTTTTTAAAAATTGTTTCCATCGTGACACAGAAATTTCTATGTTTCGAAACTTAACTCAAGCCCAAAAGATTAATTTCAATATTAAACTTTAAATTTAGAGTACACTTTTATTCTCAACTGATGTTTCAGATTCTAGACATCGATTGAGAATGAAACTGCACTTTAAATTTGAAGTTTAATATTGAAATTAATCTTTAGGACTTGAGTCAAGTTTCAAAATTAATTTCTGTGTCGCGAAGGAATCATATTTTTTTCAAAAATAATTATTATTTCAGCTCTTCTTTATCCAGCACTGTTTTTTAAAAAAAATAAAAACATAAATACTAAAGGACTTTGGATCATTAATCTAAGTGTTCTTTCCTATTACATTAGTACACACAAACACTCATACACATATATGTGTATATATATATATATATATATATATATATATATATATAACTTCCAAAATTCTCTACAAAAGCGGACATATAATAAAAAATGTACAAAATATAATGAAAACAAAATTTTATCGTCAAAATCTTTGAAATTAGAATTAAATTAAAGGGAATGCAGGTTCGATTCCTGTCGGTAAGCATATTTTCTTATCTCACTTTCTATGCCTGTTGACTTTAATTTCACATTTTAAAAAATATGGATGCCTACTCAAATATGTCTGCCTACTAAATATAGTGTTTATAGTAACCATGAATAATGTTGAATTAAACAATATCCTTTAAATTTTTAAAAAATATTTGTCATATAGGAATTGTAATGTTCTGCGCAAGAGGCTATCAATACTTGCTAGGCATCGATTAATGCGTTGATAGGATGTTAGGATGGTTGTTGATTGTCCCTCGGGTGATGGTAGCCTCCTATTCCCTCTTGCTCCGAAGCTGCTGATTAAGATTCCGGATGTCCGGAGGGGACATAACTCTTGTGTCTCTAGGGGTTATCTCCCTTCTGTTGCTGGGATATTACAATGCTTTCTTTTTTTTTTTTTTTTTTTTGGGAGGGTTTTTTTTTTGGTCTGGCCTCAGCCATTCTAAAGCCAAATCTTCGGATGAGCTACTTTCCAAGCCATCTTCGGACTTTCCAAAGCTGCGAGAATCAGAATGAAGATCTTCTTCATCACCCTGCAATGTGAGATTCTGAGTGGAAGAAATAGTTATGGTCTGGTATGGAGAAGAATTAAGGTCTTGGTCAGATGAAGTGTTGGACATTTTTGAACGGCTGGCATCAGTTCTAGAGGTTTTGTTATGAATTTTCTTGCGTGACTGTCTAAGGTGTAGCATTTTCTGGATGGAGTTGAGGGGAGACATGACTTGTGGCTCTGGCACAGACGGTTGTGGACAAGGTGCCGACTTACATTTTGTTGACATCTGTTGGACATTTGAAGAGGAGTACAATGGATTTTGAAAATCTGTTGAAGCAACTGTTGTTGCACGTTTCTTAACTTTTTGATAAAACTTGAGAGCGTCTTCATAAACATCATTTTGAGGACGCAAATATGTTGCATTTTGTGACAATCTCTTGCTTTGTTGGAAACTGCTAGAAGCAGTTTGCGGATAAGTTGATGAAGGAGTGGCAGGAAAATTCTGTTGACAACATTTAAGCTTCAATTCATTCATTTCATGTGACATTCTCTTCATTTCTGTGCACAGCATTTCTTGCATTTGGATGAAGTGTCTCTCCAAAGACAAATGGGATTTTCGTCGTTCGTTATCCAAAAGAGATGATAACTGGTGAATATTGGTGTGGGCGGTCATCAATTCTTGTTTATAAAGAGCGTTTTCAGCTTCAAGTTTCTGGACTGTGGAATTGATTTTGCGGAGAGTTTGTGGTTGTTCATCAAGTTGCCCTTTTATTTGGTTGGGAAGCCCCCAAAATAAAGATGAACTCCTGTTTGCAGGAGTATCCATTTCAATTGGAGGTGGCAAGTTCCGAGCTCCAGCTGTGTGGAACACGTATTCTGTATCACTGCCACTGCTACGTGGGTTCCGTTGGTCGTTTTCAATGCGATTCACTGAGCGTCGATTGGTCTGTGTTCGTGGGGGACGATTTGTTTCCCGTTGTCTGTTTCCGTCATTTAATCTTCTGAAACAGACAGAGGTGAAGTGTCCCCACCTTCCGAAGTATGTGCACTGGGTATGAAATGCAGGGCAAGACGTCGGTCCCCGCTCATGAGGGTATTTTCCGTTGCAATTCCTGCACTGGTATTGCCGGGGATAGTTGCTTGGTTGGCGCTGTTCGTCTGTGACTTTGTTTATTGGGGCGGTTGTAGCAGTAGCGATGTTGTTGTCTTCCAGTCGCATTGTTTGTAGGGTCGACGCTATCGTCTCCGTTGTTCTTGCGTAGTTTATTAAGTCATGTAGTGACATATCTGAGTTCATGAGTCCCTTCTGGCGGACTTTTTCCGACAGGCAGCCTGTAATTAATTGGGACTTCACCTCGGAATCCATGTCGGAAAAACGGCACATAGCCGCAGCTTCCTTTAGTTTGCGGTAGAAGTCTTCGATGCCTGGGCTATTTTGTTTAATTTTTCGGAACACAAATCGGTTGTATTCCGTGTCGTTTTCAGGGTTGAAGTGGTTGTGCACCGCTGAGACAAGCTTGTCGAAATGTGTTTCATTTTTTTCCGGTGTGACTCGCTCCTGTGGTATTTCGTCGATGATGTCATTCGTAGCCTCGCCGACAAACGTTAGTAAGATTGCTTTTTGCCGTTTGTCATCCTCAATGTTATGTGCGACAAAATAGTTTTTCAGTCTTTTTACGTATTTTGTCCATCTTGCTGCTTTGGCTGTTGACTCACAATCAAATTCGGGGTAGTGTGGTACGGCGGCCAAATTGGTTATATATCGAACACGTGTTGAATTTTTTTTTTTTTAAGTGTGTTGATGTTCTGTTTTTGTGAGGGTAACGACTCAGTCCTCGTCGCCAATGTAATGTTCTGCGCAAGAGGCTATCAATACTTGCTAGGCATCGATTAATACGTTGATAGGATGTTAGGATGGTTGTTGATTGTCCCTCGGGTGATGGTAGCCTCCTATTCCCTCTTGCTGCGAAGCTGCTAATTAAGATTCCGGATGTCCGGAGGGGACCTAACTCTTGTGTCTCTAGGGGTTATCTCCCCTTTGTTGCTGGGATATTACAGGAATAAAGTGTCGATTTCGACACTTGAGTTTAAACATAGATCGCCAGTGAGCAAACACAGGCGATCTCATTATTGAATTAAGTAGATCACGTGACTATAGAGGAAATGTATATATGGGAATTAGCTTGGCGTCTAACTGATCGCCATGTCTGTTCTATCCTCTATTACAATACGGATCGCCATTTCTACTCTATCCTCTATTGCTATACGGACCGCTATTCTCTACTCTATTCACTATACTATTTTTTTTAAGCGTTTCACCCCAAGCAATGCGAGAAGCCACTAGGACGCAAGGGGTTACAGAAAATTTAGAGCAAGATCAGATAGGAGTGATAGAAGAAAGGATGAGGAGAAGGGTAGTGGATAGATCATGGCAACTGGAGATGTCGATTGACATTACATTTGAATAGCTGGAGATTATAGCTCTCAGGGAAACTGGAATAGGGAAGGGAGTTCCACAGGCGCGAGGTGCGAGACATGAAGCTATTGGAATAGAAGAGACGGCTACATTTAGGAGTTTCGACAGTGAAAGGGTGAGAGCGGGATGCCAGCCTCGTAGAGCGCTTGAACTCATGAAGTCTGGGAACCAGCGAATGCAGCTCCTTGGCACTCTGTTCAAGTCACTATACGATGGTTACTATTCGAGCGAGTATTATCGAGCAAGTACTATTAGTGCGAGTGTCATTCGAAGGTGTCTGACACCAGTATTGTTCGACGGCGTACTATAATTTTATCTGCGATTACAAAGTCTCTTCTACAGCAAGCAAAGTCTCTCCCCCAGTGAATGTGACAACGAGTATAATATAAGTGGCAACGAGTGTTCGTTGACATCACAAAAATATTATAATATTCTTACGGTAATTGCATAGTTGGTGTCTACTATTCCCTTTTCCAGACGTTATGTGGGACGGATAGATATCTTTTCGGATGGTAACGTTTTAAGAATTAGCGGTAATATCTACGAATTTTATTGATATCGCGAATTTTCTTTCAGAAGATCATAACTCGTTCTCCTACCCGACATATACACCCATCGAAAGATAAAAATCTGGTTCAAACAAAGCCAAGAAAAACTGTTTATCGTTGTAACCAGCCCTTGTTTTGTTAACGGTAATTAAAAGAAAACTGAGTGAGAGATCTTTTACTATGATGACAGCTATCGATTCCTCAGATCTCTTGATAGCATGGCTACAATTCCAATCATAAATATAAATAAAGTGCTGTCGACCAACAGTTCTTCAATCTTACATACGACATTCTCGTAGGAAAAAAACAAAAACAAAAAAACAAAACAAAACAACAAAAAAACAAACAAACAAACAAACACAAACAGAATTTGAATTACTTTTTACGGCTTATCAACATTTTGCAGGCTATTTAAAACCAGAAAATATTTTTAAATTGTAAGAATTTTTAAAAATAATAATCTTTTACTGATATAAGTCTAACTAATTAACACGTAGCTGGTGTGAGAAGAGGTGAATTTCGCAAGGGTGAATTTCGCATGTAAGTGACTATAACGAACCCGATTGGAATTGGAACTTAACTCTCTGATTTCCAATTCCAAGCCGTTATCCATTACCTCAGACGCACATCTAAATCTAAGCTTACAGCACTTGATATTTTCAAGTGGTCACCCATCTAGGTACTGACCAGACTCGACGTTGTTTAACTTCGGTTATCATTCGGGAACCCGGTATTTCAACTTGATATGGCCGTAAGCAGCCGAGTTGCAGCAAAACAAACAGAACTAAAATTTATACTACTAATAAATATCCATTTTGTTTCTTACCGTTTGTACCAAACGGGGAAGAACAGAAATGTATTCTGTATCTATCTATCTATCTATCTATCTATCTATCTATATATATATATATATATATATATATATATATATATATATATATATATATATATATATATATATATATATATGGTGTTTATAAAACCGTATTCCCAGTATAATATAAAACTGTAATCCTAATATATAGCTACATAATATTGCGATGACAAGATATATTTTTAAATTTTAAATTACATAACGGACAGTCTATAGTCAGCACCTGAAGATTGCGTTGTGCAGGGTTGATATATATATATATGTATCGTTTGTCAGAGAAAAGGCGCTGCGCTGAGAGGTGATGAACCAATTCAGCATTGATTAGAGCTTCGAGGAGGTTGAAAGCGAATAGGCCGATAGTTTGATGTGTTGGACGGTTCAACAGAATTCTTAAAAACAGACACTGACTTCCAGCAGGCAGGAAAGCAAGAGGCAGCGAGCCATTTTTATAAAGTTTAGAGAGAACAGGAGCCAGTTCAGGAGCACATTTCTTAATGTCTATTACAGGGATACCATCGGGTCTACATGCTTTGTGGGGATCCAGGTTAGAGATGATAGCAGAAACCACTCAGCAGAGAATCAGTTCTAAATAGGAAGTTAGGCTGGGATACACTAGATGAATCAAGGGTAGAGTTTGAGGAGAATTTATGGGCAAAGCTTTCAGCTTTATCAGCAGAGGATTATAACACATCAAAGAAGAGCAGGGAATAGAGACCTTGTACTTATTTAGTGCCGTATTATAGAGATGCCTTTAATTAGAAGAGCCAAAGGTTTTAGAGCAAACAGGGACCTCCTTTGAGGACTCGCTTAGATCTGTTACGAGCAGTAGCAAATAGGCTCCTGTTATGACGAGTCGTTCCTGTCTGCTATGGCGGTAGTGCTATTGTGGACCATGGAGGGGATTGCAATTTCACCTTGTATTCCCTAGAAGGGATGAAAGCGTCGACGCCGGCTTGGACCCAAGAAGAAACCTCAGTGGCTCAAATTTCAGTTGGGATATCAGTACAAGGGGCGTCATATAGAAAATCTCGGAATGAGTCCCAATCAGCATGCTGGTAGCGGAAAGGGGTCTTATAGATGGTGGGTTCCTGTTTAATGGATGCTTGAAAGGAGGTATCAATAGCTACTACAGATTTGTCTGAGTTACCAAGAAGGCAGTATTGTGAAGCTCGGCAAGAGCTAGGAGATAAGATAAGAAATAGATCCAGTAGAGAAACCTGTTTCTTGGTTTCGCTAGGAAACGTATATATATATATATATATATATATATATATATATATATATATATATATATATAATTATTTATTTAAAATATGATTCCAAATCGCGACATAAGAAGTCGCGATTTGGAATCATATTTTAAATAAATAATTATATTTATGCTCTACTTTTGTATCGAGCACTATTTAAAAAAATGATGACTAAAATACTAAGGGACTTTGGATTATTTACCTAACCAGTTCCTTCCTATTTTCTATATATTTTCACACACACACACACACACACACACACACACACACACACACACACACACACACACACACACACATATATATATATATATATATATATATATATATATATATATATATATAATATTAGTGGTAAATATACACATACGTATGCAAAATATATAAATAGATATACATACATGCATACACATACATATATTTTTTTAATAAAAAAATTTCAAGAGGATAGAATCCAGGTAGAACTCAATGTCCAGGACAGAGTAAGGATATAATAAAAAGGCTTAAACACTAATATTCCATGGTCATAATTTATTCCATTGGAACCGTAAATACGATCCAATTCATCAGACCTAGGGAAGAATTTGAATGAGATAAATGTTTAATAGTTATTTCTAATATTTTATACAACAACAATTAAATAAACAAGTTTTAACAGACAATTTCAAATCATCACCACGAGAACACGAACTATATAACAGTCAGATTATATTTGTACCTGAAGATTGCAAGAACTGCATGAAACTCCGAGTCGTGCTATCGACGTTGGATATTATGTATATTCACTAATATATACTTATAGCTCTGTTTCACAACATATATTTATAACACCTAAAAAAGAAATATATTTATACGTACGTGTGTGTATGTAGATTTTTTTTTATCCTACCCATTCCTCTCTCTCTCTCTATATATATATATACATATATATTCTCGGTGACGAGAGGTAACAAATTAGATTATATATATATATATATATATACATATATAATCATTTATTCGAAAATTATAAAATGAATATGTCATAAAATCAGTACAAAAAATAGGCATTTTGTTTCAACACTTCTTTGTCTTATCAAGTGATGGTGTTGAATTTAGAATATTAGCTTTATTCTAAATTCAACACCATCACTTGATAAGACACCAGAAGTGTTGAAACAAAATGCCTATTTTTGTACTGATTTATATTATATTTATGTTATAATTTTTGAATAAATAATTATATTTGCTCTACTCTGTATTGAGCACTCTTTTAACAATAGTATTTGTTGGTTATTGGAATTTATTCCGTATGCACCAATCCTATACTTGCATATATATATATATATATATATATATATATATATATATATATATATATATCTCGTAACGGTCCGGGTTCAATTCTCGGATGCGCATAGTTGATGAGTCCCAAAATAGAAAACTGCCGTCCAATGCTTTCTGCATACTGTTGAGGTTTCTTCTAGACTCGATGAATTAATTATGATTATCAAATCCCCTTTAATTTCTCTCTCTCTCTATATTTATATCCAAATAAAGAAATATATATATATATATATATATATATATATATATATATATATATATATATATATATATATAAATGCAATATGGGAACCAGTAATAAGGAGTGCTAGAGAAAAGCAATAATAACAACAAAGTTGCAATATGAATTCTGGTAAAAACATAAAATGATAACAGCAAAATTGCAATATGAGCACTGGTAAAATGTTTGCTGAAGACATTATAATACCCAGAAATTCATACCCAGATCTCCTCAAGGACATGGCACAGCGGATAAAGTTGGTTAGATCCAGTGAAAGGACCCAAAGAGTGTGAGTTCAATACCCGGTTAAGGCAGTGGAGAACTTTCAGAGGGAAATTAGCAGGAGATAACTGATAACTGACATCCATCAAACATGGCACGTGGAACTAGAACAGTCTACCCTAGTGAGCGAAATAAAGGGTTCAAATTCGAAAATTAATTCGAAATTTCAACCACCTGAAGAAGGCCGGAGCGTACAACGGCCGAAACGTTGTGATAAATATGGCGACAAAGATGAGGACAATAGTCCGAATAATGTAAATAATGTACATAATACCTCATCTCAGAAATATAGACACAATATATATATATATATATATATATATATATATATATATATATATATATATATATATATAGTGCGATTGAAAAGGACCTCCCCATTTTAAAATATTTATGATTTATTTATTAACTATAATTTTTACACAATAAATGGTTTCGAGAGGAAATCATTTAGCATGAGGTTTTATTTAAAATTCGACATCGGCACCAGATTTCGCTACCAGTTTCTCAAGCCGTCCAGGAATCGCGTCAGTTGATTTCACCAGGAATTCTTGTATGTATGGAAGACATAACTTCTTGTACTCGCCCTTCAAAGTCTTGGTTTAATATAGTTGACTTGCTCCTTTAACCAACCTCAAAGAAAAGAGTCATAGGGTGTTAAGTCAGGACTCCTGGCTGACCATTCATACATAAAATAGGGAGTTACTTTTCAATCACCCTATATATATATATATATATATTCATTCACAGACAGACTGTTTCGCTGTTTCATAGCTCATCAGTGTGGCTAGACATCCGATTGCTTCAAGCCAGGATCGAAACCCAACTGATTCGGCAACAGTTGGAGATTTTTCCCTTAAGCCATCGAATTAGGAGGAAAGAAAGGCGAATTTTTACGTATTTATTCTGTGAATAAACTCGCCAATGTCTGAGAGAGCTTAATTCAGGGAAGGGAAAGAGCCTTGTAATATTAATAGTAATAGTCATTGTTTACAAATTCGCACTTATCTCCCAAGAGTGCACAACCGAAATTAAGTTTTTCGGGTGTGTATATATTGTCATTCAGAGACAGACTATTTCGCAGCTCATCTGTGTGGCTAGACTTCCGATTGCTTCAAGCCGGGATCGAAACCCGAAATTTTTGAAAATGTCCCTAATGTTTATTTAATAAAAACAAAATTCCATTTAAAAAACTGAACAAAATTGTTAGTAAAGGTGAAGCCCAACAATGTAATTGTAGAAAAAGCTATTATTATGATTAATATGATTAACATCCGACTTACACAATTACTTATACATTTCGACACAATAAAAATTACGAGAAACTCTACCACGAAACTAAAGGCATCCAGACAACTACGTGAGAATTGAAATTTCTGCCGCCGAATGAGGAACCGGAATTAAACTAGAGAAAAAGAGGACAAAAAATAAATAAATAAAAGGGTGCTGATGAGCTTCTACAAATAAACTAAGCATAACTTAGATATGGCATAGGGTATGGAGCACAAAACGAGGATCTAATTTATTACTCAGTCGGAATTGATATAACGAAACAAGCTTGATAACAATAGCACCACATCGAATAGCTACCCGTCCCAAACAGTGCCGGGATGTGACACAGTCTTTTTAATATGGGATGTCCATGGGTCAAAGCCGAACATTGACCAGTCCTCGCGACCATTGTCACTCTGGCGTTGGTATCTCACCAACTTTTCCTTTGTAGGGCAATAAGGGGAGGTACTGATACATGGTTATATTTTACTAAGTCTAGTTTAGATATAGCACAAGGTCGAAAGTTTGGTG